TATCACTGAGTGCAGCTGGCAAGAGGCAGCCTCAGCCCCACGTGACCAGCCAGTTCTCCACAGGCAGACTGGGGCCTCTGCTCTACTATCTACCCATCGTGCGAGAACGTGCTCTGGAGCGGTCAGTGGCGCCCCCCATCACGGAGTAACGCAGGACACTGCAGTGTTCGGCGTGGGGGGACCAGCGCGGTCTAGTCCCTGCCCTGCCCCGCTTCCACGGGGGATCGTCCGCGTTGTCGCTCTCCAATGGCCATTGCATGAGCAATCGTTTTACTGTGAAGTTCCAGAAATGTTTGTTCTGGCTTCTGCACGGCAGCCAGTGTTTAAAAGTGTGCGAGGTCTGGCTGTGGGAAACAGTCATGCCAAAGGACAAACTATTTCACTAGGCAGGTGGGGAAGCACTGGGATGAGTTCCCGAGGGAGGGAGTGGAATCTCCATCTCTAGAGGTGTTTACATCCCAGTTTGACACAGTCCTGGCTGGAATGGTTGAGTTGGGGCTGGTCCTGCTTGGGGCTGGAGGCTGAACTCGATGACTCCTGAGGTCTCTGCCAGTCCTGGGATTCTAGAGTTCTATATTTCAGTCCAGTGTCCGGTGCCAGTTTCTGATCTGGTTTACGCAGTCTGGGGTAACTCCATTCGGCTCAGTTAGGCTGTGTCTAGACTACAAAGAAAAGTCATAAAAAGATACACAAATTGCAAACCGCGATTTGCATATCTTTTCCCGCTTTTCTTTCGGAAGAGGCTTTTCCAGCAATTGTCTACATGGGGCCAAATTTCGGAAAACAAGCCTCTTTCAGAACATCCCTTCTTCCTCGCAGAACGAGGTTTACAGGGATGCCAAAAAACCACATCTGCTTTTCTGAATTTTTTTTTCAGAAAAGGAGACGCGTTCCTTGGCTGCAGCAGAGCTTTTCCAGGATACCTCCAGTATCACGGAAAAACCCTGCAGTCTAGACGTACCCTGAGATTAGGATTTGACCCATGTATTGTTCTTTCACCCTGCCACTCATGTTTGATGGTGCCTTTTATATATTATAATGGAGAGCAGTGACTACCATTGGTCTAAGGCAGGGGTGTCCAAACTTTTTTCAGAGAGGGCCAGATTTGAAGAAGTGAACATGCGTGAGGGCCGTCCCCGCACTCTCAGCCCCAAGGCAGGGTCGGAGGCGGGCGGAGAGCGCAGGGCACGCCGGCCTCATGGCGGCCCGGGGGCAGGGCGAACCCGCAGCCGAGCGGGGGAGCGGGGCTGCGGATGTGCCCTACAGGGCAGGCTCTAGGACCGTGGAGGCCATGGGCGGCAGCGGCGGCGCGGCCGGAAGCGGCGCGCCAGTTCAAAAGAGCGCCTGGGAGCCAGGAGAAGGGGAGGAAGCAGGGGCCGTATTAAATCGGAACACGAGCCGCAATTGGCCTGCGGGCCGGACTTTGGACATGCCTGTCTTAAGCAAACCATAAGTACAGTAAGCTTACATTCATTTGCCTGTGCCATTCCACTTCCAACTCCCTTGCAAGATACATTTCAGCATGCCGGTATGGGATGTAATATTTCCAAAAACTGTAAATATCAGACCACAAGAAAAGCAGCAATGATGACAGATATCTACTTGGTATCTGGGATCTCTAGTGATACAATGGCTTGTAGCCTTAAAAGGAATAGAGGGACCGTCTTTTTTCCATGTGCAAGTCTAAGAAATTTTGTGCACACAATAAGCCTTTTATTCATCTCAGCATGCATAAAGGGAACAATGGGCTTTGTTTTCCCATCATTCCTAGAAGTCCTCTGTGCTCCATGAGGCAGGGCAGCTAGGAGAAGCAGGGTGGAGAGAAAGCATGCCACCAGCTTTGATCCCTGAGAAAAACAGGTCCATTTTCCATGGTGTTGCGTCTGATTGCTCTCGCCCACAGGCTCCCTGCAATACAGAAGTCTGCACAATCACACCACTCTGCCCACATCCCCCGCACAGTTCTCAAAGAACTCAGCAGGAGTTACTATGGCCCTGGACACTGGAGGCATTTTGCATCAAAACACAGTTTACCCCAAGAAGGGTATGTACAAACTCAGCAGTCCCTGCCTGGTCTAAGGCTAAGTCACTGCAATTGTGCATAGGTAGATTAGGTGTGAATTTGGGAGGAAGGGGACCATACAGCGGGAGTTCAGAGGGCATGCAGAGGTTTTGAGCCTGGAGAAAAGGACAGTGAGGAAGCTGAGCTCTGTAATCACCAGATACTGCAGCAGAGAGGAGTGAAGCACAGTGGCTCTGTTGTGATTATGGTTAGAAAACGTTCACTGAACCTACTTTAGATTTTGAAATTCTTCCACGAGGCTGGATTTCTGCCCAGGAGACATTCTAGCAAAAACAGTCCCGTTCACTAGTATCTGTAGAAAGAAGAACATTGTGGTGGTACTAGATTGAAAAATGAACCCAAATAGTGTTCATGCTATTAGGAACCCAGTGTCCCATGTATGATATTTAGTAGCATAATGGAGGATCCAGCCCTGTTTCATTATTGAATCTCTGCAATGGCAGGTTATTGGTTTTTATAAAACCATTAACTTTTCCTCTTTGATCTATAGATGGCCTGGGACCAGAGCCTTCCACATGCTGTAATTTTTGGAATCTGAGCCTGATTTTTCTCATAATAGACCTTGGATCAGCCCGTAGGAGTTTGCAACGTGACCCCATCTCTCTGTGATCATTTTCCTGACCCATGAACATTATCCCCATAGGTGCAAGAGCTAGGGATGCAGGGCGTTTTGCAGCACCCTCACATTTTATGTGGGTCCCAGCCACTGTCCTGCACCCGGGGCTCTGTTCCTGGCCCCGCACCAGCCCCAGCCTTGGACCCCTAACCCCTGTCTGTGTCTCCCTCCCGGAGGCAGAGTCTGGTCTTGGGCTCCAACTGCAGGGAAGGAGGGGACTGGGGTTAGGGAACTGGCTTTCTGCACCCCGGATATTAAACTATTAAAAATGTTCCAGCAGCACTGATGATCCCTTTAAATACAGCTCAGTGTTCCAGGATCCAGCAGGATCTCCAGCCTCTGGGAATCCTCACTCTATCATTCTCCAGTAACACGAGTCACCAGATTCATTAGCTACTACCAGTGACTCATGCCCACGTGTTTCCCTCATTAGACTGCTCACATGAAATGAATTCTGCGCTTCCCTTAACTCCTTGTGAGCGAGATGCATATTCAAATTGCGCCAGACGGTCTGTTTTATACACTGCTCAGGTGAAACTAAGACTGTAGCTGTAGCAGGATTTGCCAACTTCTCGACAGTGACAAATCCTCGCTGGCGTAAAGCGGTGCAGCTGCGTTACAGTCGATGGTGCTGTGGTGAATTGCGGCGGCTGAGACGCTGGCTCAGGGATTTTAAAAACACCCCGGTGGTCACCGCATGTATCACAGGGCCTCGGGCGGCAGGTATACGAGGCAGGGGAAGGCGTTTCCTACCCAAACTGCCAGGCGTGGCCCCTCCCACATTCCGTCCCCTGCTTCAGCCACGCTGAGGCTAGGACCACGTGCCACCCGCCCTTCCCGTGCTCTGGAGCTGGGAAGGCTCACACGGGGGCTGCGGGGAGATGGGAGATCTGCCCCTGCAGTGTAGGGTAGGTTGTGGGGAGAGCGGGGGAGCTGGAGCCCTGCCCCTGAGGTGAGGGGAACTTGGCTCTGGGGGGAGGGGGCCAGGTGGAAGAGGTGGAGCTGGGGGGTCGCCTCCCCCAGTCCTCGATTCACCCACTGCCCATGCAGGGTTGCCAGCAGGAGGGCAAGTTTTTTGCTTTTAAGTTCAAATGTTCACACTTTAAATGCAGCCCAGGTTGATCGTGGCCACAAGTCAATGGCTGCTGGTAGCCACCAAGAAATGAATTGATGTTCTTCATTCAGTTCTAAGGAAAGCAGCAATTCCATGATGTAGACCAACCCCCAACTGCCACTCTTAGTTGAAGCCTCAGAGAATGAGCACTGAGCCCCACGAGGGGAGGAGCACTCGGGATGAAATCGGGGAACACTGGGGCCATTGCACGGCCATGGTCTCTTGGTTCAGAATGAGCTGAGTGACTCTCACAGCTGTTTATCGGCTTTGCACCTTTCAACGTTTCTGTGAAAAACGGGGAACGTAGCAATTTGTTACCTCGCAAACTTACTTTGGGCAGCAAACTCTTAAAATGCTTCATTATAGCCTGATAGGATCTTCCATTCATGGCAAAATGGTAATTGTTGCTTTCCCTTCCAGGAATGGTCCTTCCCTCAATATTAATATGTATGTCCTAGAAATCAGACAAGAGTTGTTCTCAGACGGGGGTTGCAATGTTCTAACATGTGAGTAAGGAAAGGAACAAATCCAGTTATTGTATTATGGTCTTGGTTGCTAGAGAACTGGTAGCTACCTCGTGCCTCAGTTTCCCATCAGTACAATGGGGATTATATTTAACTCACCCACCCTCCCTTTATAAAACATTGTGGGTTTGTCTCCAAGTCACTGCTTCGTTGTGTTGTAACACTTGTTCATTACTACGTGTTAACAAACATGATTGTAAATTAAGCTATAGAAATGACACAGAAGTTTGTTTCCACACGGTATATGTTTTTAGTTGTAGTTAACCCTAGGAATCACCTAGGTGAACAAGAGATGCTCTATATTTGCAGAGTTGACTATAATAGAGTTTAAAGAGAAGCTAGATAATTTCATGGAGGTTAGGTCCATAACAGGCTATTAGCCAGGGGATAAAATGGTGTCCTTGGCCTCTGTTTGTCAGAGGGATGGCAGGAGACAAATCGCTTGATCATTATCTTCGGTCCACCCTCTCTGGGGCACCTGGTGCTGGCCACTGTCGGCAGACAGGATACTGGGCTAGATGGACCATTGGTCTGACCCAGTACGGCCGTTCTTATGTTCTTATCCTGGGTTAGGATAAAAGGGGTAAAAAATAAGGGTGATGTCATGGTAGGGGGTCTACTGCAGACCACCAAGCCAAGAAGAAGAAGTGGATCAGGATTTTTCTTTTGAACAACTAATAAATCATCCAAAGAACAGAACTTGATGGTGGTCGGGGACGTCAACTATCCAGACTTCTGTTGGGAAAATAACTCAGCAGGGCACAGGTTATCCAAAGAAGTTCTTGGACTGTATTAGAGACAGTTTTTTTTTATTTCAGAAGGTGGAGAAAGCTACTGGGGGGAGGCTGTTCTAGAGTTGATTGTAAGAAATGGGAAGCAGAGAAAACAGCAAAATAAAGACAATGGATTTCAAGAAAGCAGACTTCAGCAAACTCAGGGAATTGCGAGGTAAGATCCATTCTAAGCAAATCTAAGAGCAAAACAACTGAAGACAATTGGCAATTTTTCAAAGACACATTATTAAAGGGCAGAAGAGCAAACTAATCCACTGCGCAGGAAAGATAGGAAGTATGGCAAGAGACCAAACTGGCTTACCAAGAAGACCTTAAATGATCTAAAAATGAAGGAGTCCCACAATAAGTAAAAACTACATCAAATTACAAAGGATGAATATATATAAACAGATAACATAGGTATTCAGGGGCAAAATTAGAAAGGTGAAGGCACAAAAAGAGCTCAAACAAGCTAGAGACAAAGGATGTGTCTAGACTACAGGTTTTTTCATAAAAAGTGGCCTTTTTTTGAAAAAACTTCCCCTGGGTCTAGACTGCTGCCACATTCTTTCAAAAGTAAATCAAAAGAACGAGGCAGTTTTTTCGACCGCGGAAAACCTTGTTTTACGAGGAATAACGACTTTTTTCAAAAGTGCTCTTTCGTAATGCAAACTGTGCTTTTTCGAAAAAGAGCATCCAGACTATCTGGGTGCTCTCTTTCAAAAAAGCGGCTTGCTTTTTCAAAAGAACTGGTTGTATGCTAGACACTCTTTTTCGAAAGAGGCTTTTTCAAAAGTATCTTTCAAAAAAGCCTCTTTCGAAAGAGGCTTGCAGTCTAGACGTAGCCATAAAGGGGAACAAGAAAACATTCTACAAATATATTAGAAGCAGGGGGAAGACCAAAGACAGGGTAGGCCAATTACTCAATGATGAGGGAAAAACAATAACAAAATGCGGAAATGGCAGAGGTGCTTAATGACTTCTTTCTTTCCGTTTTCACCAAGAAGGTAGGTGGTGATTGGACACCTAACATAGTGAATGCCAGTGGAAATGGGGTGGGTTAAGAAGTTTAAATGGGGAAAAACAAGTTAAAAATTACTTGGACAAGTCGATGTCTTCAAGTCACCTTGGCCTGATGAAGTACATCCTAGAGTACTCAAGGGACTGACTGAGCAGATATCTGAGCTATTAGCTAGTATCTTTGAAAAGTCATAGAATATGGGAGAGATTCCAGATGCCTGGACAAGGGCAAATATAATGCCAATCTATAAAAAGAGAAATAGGGACAAGCCAGGGAATTACAAACCAGTCAGCCTAATTTCTGTGCCCGGAAAGATAATGGAACAAATAATTAAGGAATTCATCTGCAACATCTGTAATATAATAAGGTAACAGCCAGCATGGATTTGTAAAGAACAGGTAGCTTTCTTCAATAGGATAACAAGCCTTTTGGATAAGGAGGAAGCAGTAGGTGTAGTATACTGGGCGTCCCCGCTACAAGCTGCCACAGTATACATCCGTTCCACACTAAAGTCATTGACACTTGTAGGAACTGATGAGTTACAAGGGCCTTCCATTCCCTGCTCTTAAGTTGCACAAAAAAACCCCCAATTTGCGCAACTGGAAGTCAGTCATGGGGAAAAATTCCCCACTTCAAGTTGTTTCACTATAAGTTCAAGTTTTTTGGAATGTATCTTGGACTTATAGCGAGGACAGCGTGTATCTAGACTTCTAGTAAGGCATTTAAGTCAGTTGTGCTTGACTTTCTCATTAATAAACTAGAGAAATTAAGAAAGTTCTCATTAATAAACTAGGTTAACTGGTTGGTTAACTGTTCCCAGAGCGTAGTTATCAGTGGTTCACTGTCAGGCTGGAAGAGCATAACGAGTGGGGTTCCACAGGGATTAGTTCTGGGTCTAGTTCTTTTCCACAGCTTCATCAACAAATTTAGATAATGGCAAGGAGAGCGCAGATGATGCCAAGATGGACGAGGCTGCAGGTGCTATGGAGGATTGGATTTTCATTCAGAGTTATCTGGACAGTACTGGAGAATTGGTCAGAGGGAAAGATGAAATTCAACAAGGGCAAATGCAAACGGGTACTCCTATTAGGGAGGAACAATCAGTTACATGCATGCAACATGGGAAATGACTGCATAGTGTGACAGAGCAGGGGCGATTCAGCAGGTTAAAGAGCTTGATGGAAGGGGAAAGAGGCAGAGAGAGTCAGCAATCCTGGCTAATTAGGGGCAGCTGAGACAGGGCGTCTGCAAAATGAATTAAGGCCCAGATGAAACCAATTGAGGCTGCCTGGAGGCCTATTTAAGAACCCTCCCTGTGGGGGTGAGAGGAGGGAGAGTTGGGAAGGAGTTTGGAGAGTGTGGAGCGAATTGAGAAGAAGTTTGGAGAGCTGTGGAGGAGTTTGGAGAGTGGAAGAGGAGTTTGAAGAAAGAAAGAAAGAAAGAAAGAAAGAAAGAAAGAAAGAAAGACACTGGAGGAGTCAAGAGAATGGCATCGACCTTGTTAAAAGACTACAGGGAGACAACAAAACTCAAACCCAGGCAAGTAAGCCATATTACTGTGACTTCTAGACTGAGGGACAGTGGGCTGAACAGGAGTCAGGGACCCAGGAGCGGGACAGACCCTGCCACAATAGGAAGAAGTACGATAGAAAGGGATCTGGGGTCGCAGTGGACCACAAGCAAAATATGAGTCAACAAGGTAACACTGTTACAAAAAAAGCAAATATCATTCTGTGATGTATTCACAGGAGTGTTGTGACAGAGGGAGAAACATTATTCTCCTTAACTCCCAATGATAGGACCAGAAGCAATGGGTTTCAATTGCAGCGAGGGAGATTTAGGTTGGAGATTAGGAAAAGCTTCCTGTCAGGGTGGTTGTGGTCTATGGTCTAGATCAGGGGTTCCCAACCTTTTTCGGTCCCCATAGCCCCTTGGCTTTTAGTAAACGTTCCCGTACCCCTACTCAATATGAAAGGAAATAAATTCTAGACTCTAGAATCCACAACTTTTTTCACTCACACGACTACTTTTGGAATATTTCAATTATGATGATCTAGTTATTCACCAAATACTCCCCGTATCTCCTTGACAAGCTTCTCGTGCCCCCTGGGGGTACTCGTACCCCGGTTGGGAACCCCTGGTCTAGATGCTCTATGGTCTTGATCCTGCCATGAGTGCAGGGGACTGGACTTGATGACCTCTCCAGGTTCCTTCCATTTCTATGGTTACACTGTATAAGTTGTTTGGCTCTGTCAAATATCTCTCCCCAAGTTGATGGAAGATTAAAACAAATCTTTGTGGAAGATTTTTAAAAAGCTCCCACATTTCCTCAGTCCCTTCATGCCACTGCAGCTTCAAGGCTATTGGGCAAAGCAGTAAGAAACCCACTTTTCACATTTCCAAAGCCTCAGTGCCCCCAGCCTTTGCCAAGTGACCCGGCGGGTCTTACACTAATTCCAGCTGCGCTGTGTCTGCTATCTTCCAGCAGTTGCCAGGCAATGGATGCTGGGACGAGTCCTCGTGGTTCACTTGCTTCAATGAGAATCACTTTGCTGGTCTCGGAAATCATTGCGGCGCTCTTGGCCACAGTAACGGCTGTCTGAAGGTTGTCCCCTGGAACATAAACGCGTGAGGCAGATTGGGGCAAGAAATGAGCAATCTACTGTGACTTTACTGCTGGTGCTATGCTATACACTGGGCCCACCCCAGGCTTCCCTCTCGCCAGCTTTCGCTACAGGCCAGAGGGCTGGCTCTGCACTGTCACTCTCGCAGTAATTCTTTAATTCAGCAGCGTTGCGTTACGCTAGAACTCATGCAAGGGGCCCGGCAAGTCAGAGGACCAGATTCGGCAAGACATCTGCTCATGGAACTCCTATTGTCCGGCGCGGCAGTTCTGTACCTAGAGGGCTACAGGGTCAGGTCCAGAGACGATACCTGTGACCATCACGCTCCTGATCCGGGCAGCGCTGAGCTCTTCCAGCACGGGCTTGGTCTCGGCCTTCAGCCGGTTTTCCATGATCAGCAGGCCCAGGAACGTCAGGTTGCTCTCCAGCTTCTCCCTGGGAATGATGATGACAAACGCCCAGAGATTGTTTGGATAGTGGTTGGGGTGGGAGGAAAGTCTTAGGGTGGCATTTTTTTTTTTATACAGAACCCACACTAGGATTGAAATGCACTTTTCTTTCCAGGAAACTGTAACCGATACTGCATTCCAAGCAAAACGGATTCACGGAGCCTTTAGGTCTCTGCAGTTTGGACAAGCTGCCAAACCTGAACAACACCGTTGTGTGGACTAAGCAGGAAGCACAGTGCGCGCGCACACACACACACACACGTTATCTGCAGGAACAGAAATCGGATGTATGTATCACACACACTTGGCATAACATAACAGTGTAACTGATTCTCTCGGAATGTCTACACTAGCTCGTTAGTTCGAGCTAGGTAAGGTAATTAGGGCAAGCAGAATTGCAAATGAAGCCTGGGATTTAAATATTGTGGAATGAGGAGTAACAGTAGTTCGAATTAGGATCTTTAATTTAAACTGCCTATTCTGTGCCGCGTGTAGCCGCGAGCACGGAGTTCGGACTACGGGGGATTTAAAAATGGCGGCACCCAGGAACATGCAAATGAAGCCCGGGATATTTAAATCCCGGGCTTCATTTGCAACTCCACTTGCCCTAATTACCCTACCTAGCTCGAACTAACGAGCTAGTGTAGACGTACCCCCCAGAGAGATCATGCTAATGGCTTAGCCATTCCTGAGCCCCTCTTCTCTGACAGGTCGTGCAGAATTGACCTGGAGAAGCACCCAGCAGCACTTACCTCTCTAAGCTGCCCAATTCCACAGCCTTGTCCATGTTTAGTTCTTTATGTGCCAGGGCAATCACTCTGAAGCCTTGGGCTGTGGACATGTGAAGCTCCTTTGTGAAATCAGCTGGGACTGTGTAGAGGAGAAAAGAACATGTGGGCAAGTCTTACAGTTTCTGTGATGTCAAGAACATCCGATCTTTGACGCTTTTCTTTGGTGGCTTCAACTCTGCATGTGACACACTCACCATTTACCAGTGCTATGGCCTTTCTCTGCCAATCACCTGGGTCTGATCCAAAGGCTCTGGAGCTAACAACTAGATCTGAGCATTTCTAATAATTGGGCTACAGTGTCATTTAAACTACAAGGCGTGGAGTAAGCTCTGTTCTAACCACAGGACCTCCTGGCACCTTCAGTGGGGCCTATGGACTAGCTAACCGCTAAACTCCGCACTGTTTTACCACCCAACACTAACTGTAGCAGGTGTTTGCGCCAGTACCCGTGAGCCACTGTGGACACAGATCACGGGAATCCCTGCCTCAAGGGGTTGGAGAGACAGCAGTTTCATGGTTCCAAGACATCTCCAAGCAATGGCAGCCATTCCGGCTCTTGAGTGCTTGGCTTCAGCCTCAACTTGACTTGGGCCTCGCCTCCTGACACAGATCCTGAAACCTGACTTGGAATCCACCCTGGCATGGAACTTGACTATGAACTTCTCCACTGCTCTCAGCCTCAGGTCTGACCCTGCTCTGACCGTTCTGAGTCTGTGTTCTGCCACGTAAATACTACGTACCTTTTTGGAGGGATCACTTAATAGCTCTGTGCCTCAGTGGGAGGACTTGGGCCTCGCCTCCTGACACAGATCCTGAAACCTGACTTGGAATCCACCCTGGCATGGAACTTGACTATGAACTTCTCCACTGCTCTCAGCCTCAGGTCTGACCCTGCTCTGACCGTTCTGAGTCTGTGTTCTGCCACGTAAATACTACGTACCTTTTTGGAGGGATCACTTAATAGCTCTGTGCCTCAGTGGGAGGGTTGTCTGATGGCAAGCAGCTGGTTTTGAGAATGTTCTGGGCTGGGCCCAAGGCAAGACAGAGACATGAGCGGCTTCTGTGGCTGCCACAGTTTACACAAGGAAAAGGGCCGCCAGGACCAAGAGAGGCACAAAAGTGAATTTAAGCTACTTTTGCCTCTTGTCCCTCTCTCCGTTGTGCTGCGTGTGAGTTGGAAGTAGCTAAGGGTCAAGTCCACAATCTACAATTGCCTCTAATTCCATACAGAGATTTTAAAGGCAAATATAACTTTAGAAAGGGCTACCTATTTAATTTGAGGAAAAGCAGCGTTTTGCTGGGTAAGCACTGTGATGGCGCGTCGGGGTTCCCCCGATCCTGAACCCCTGTAGCAGCAAGAATAGACTCCACCAGCCAGTAGAATAGAGAGGGTTTATTGCTGCTCCGGGATACAGCACGGCATAGATCACCGGACCGTGCGGCTGGAAAGCGGGGCTCGCCGCGGTTCGGCGAGCCCTGGTCATTGCTAACTGTACGTATATTTACATAGTTCTTCTCCCACCACTAGGGGTGCGTCTACACTGCACCCTTATCTGGAAACAGATAAGTTATGCAAATTACATGGTTTATTTTGTGTTATTTTCAAAATAGCTTATTTTGTAATTTGCCACTGTCTGCACAGCACCAAATTTCAAAAGAAACGGCTATTCCGAAACGTCACTTAATCCTTGTGGAATGAGGCTTACAGCGACGTTGGAATAGCATGCCCATTATTTTAAAAGATATTTTGAAATAACAGGCATGCTGTCAAGATGCAGAATAGCTATTTCAGGATACCAGAACTATCCCAAAATAGCGCCGCTGTGTAGATGTACCCTAAGATTTTAAGCTTCTGTGAGAAGTCAGTATTACAACAGTGAATATACGTATCTGGAAATCATTCATGCTCTCAACTCTTTGGTTAAGCAAAGATGTGCAGGCAACTGCATGTACAGTCACCATGACTGCATATCTAAATCAGGTATTTGCACATGTTAACGTCCAGTTATGGGCCAGGTCCTCCACTATTTAAGTCAATAAAGCTGCAATGATTTTCACCTGCTGAATATTTGACTATGCATCGAATCAGCTACTGGATCATGCATACGGAGCCATGCTAACTACATCAATGAGATTGGCAAGAGCCCAGACAGCCTCAGGGGAAATTGCCTTTTGGACTGAGCCAAGATAATGTTCCCAAAGCCTTCCTCCCCGTTGGGGCCACACAGATACATTTCCATACCAGTTTCAGGTCTGCAAAAGCTGGACACCATTTCGGGTGCTCCCTTCATATAGAGATCATAGTGGTCCCTCCCAATCAGCTGTGTGATGACAGACATCCTCTGCAGCCCAGAGGAAAACGGGAACTGATGCAGGATTACTATCCCGTCCACTGGAGCCTGAGGAAAAGGCCGGAAGATACGGGAGGTTATTTAGACACTGAATTCACTTTGTAGACAGAAAATGGATGCCTTGGCAAGCTTGGCATTTGATTGCTACCCTGAATTGTCATGGGGGGGGGTGAGTTAAGTGGTACACGAGGGGGTCCGCTTACTACCTTTTGCCCAGGGGATCATAGGGACCAGAGACTGCACAACTGGATCATGTCATCCATTCCCCATATGCTTTCGCCTAGAAAATTCGGGGTTGTTCCCAATAGCACGTTCTTCAGTGCTCAGTCCAGGGGAGCTTTTAAGTGTCCCTGGAGATGGGGCTTCCTACCACCACTGCTTCTTGAGACAAGCTAGCCCGCAGCTCGCAGGCCTCGGCTGGGTTTCTGATATTCAGGTTATGGTTTCCATTCTGCTTTCTGTTCTGTTCTACTCTTTTTTTCATTAGGTATTTTGCATTTATGTATGGGGCCCTTTGAGAGCTAAAGGAGAAACACTTGGGCTACATCTAGACTGCATCCCTTTTTCATAAAAGGGATGCAAATTAGATGTATCGCAATTGCTAATGAAGCGGGGATTTAAATCTTCCCCGCTTCATTAGCATAAAAATGGCTGCTGCTTTTTTTCGGCACGGAGCTTTGCCGGAAAAAAGCGCCAGTCTAGACGCGGATCTTTCAGAAAATAAAGCCTTTTCCGAAAGATCCCTTATCCTTATTTTAAGAGGGATAAAATTGCGATACGTCTAATTTGCATCCCTTTTACGAAAAAGTGATGCAGTCTTGGAGTGAAGTAATAGTTGTATTTTATTTATCTATGTATTTATTTTAGTAGAACATAAGAGCGGCCACACTGGGTCAGGTCAAAGGTCCATCTAGCCCAGTGTCCTGTCTGCTCACAGTGGCCAATGCCAGGTGCCCCAAAAAGAGGGATCACAACAGGTAATCCTCACGTGATCCCTCTCCAGTCATCCATTTCCAGACAAACAGAGGCCAGGGACACCCCTCCCACCCATCCTGGCTAACAGACGTTGATGGACCCAACCTCCATGAATCTATCTAGCTCTTTTTTGAGCCCTGTTAAAGTCCTGGTCTTTACCGGATCGTCTGGCAAGGAGGTCTAAAGGTTGACTGTGTGCTGAGTGAAGAAAAACTTCCTTTTGTTGGTTTGTTTTAAACCTGCTACCTATAAATTTCATTTGGTGACCCCTAGTTTGTTATATTGTGGGAATAAGTAAATAACTTTTCCTTATTTGCTTTTTCCACACCAGTATATTACAATTCATGTGTCTCTTCCTCTAGATTATTTCAGTCCGGTATCCAGTGCATATGATCCAGTTCATATGCAGTTTGTTAGCTCTTTCCCGCACCCATTTCACTTTGAATAGTTTAGCAAAACATGTTTGCTTTTTCAGTAAGGCATTTGCTTTAACTGCTTAGCAGCTCTATTTTTTATCTCTAAGCTGCTTCCCAAGTGTGTAAAGAGATGAGCGGGAAAACGTTGCTGCAGTTAGTACAGTCAATAGTTTTTGCCTCCGACACCGCTGTTGTCTGGTTTTGGGTCTCTGCTTCTGATCATTTATTTTGTTCCTCCTTATACTGTTGAGTTTTTTTTTAAAACACTTTTCCTCTGTTCTCTCCCCCACGTGCCTCTCCTCCCCCAGTGTATTCTCTCTGAGGTAAATGCAGCTTTGCTGATCAGTCAGCAAACTGATTAAAAGTGATTCTTTCCTCCTATACACCTCCAAGCAGCCAGTTTAAATTCCCCCAATTTAACAGGCAGCTCACTTTCCTTGGGACACATTTTGACACGTTTTCAAAGGGATACCTTTCATAAGATACAAAAATAACACAAAAGGACTGAGGAAGTTTACAGCTTCCAGAAACTCTCAGAATTGGAGAGGTAAATGAATGTTACTTGTGCTAGTAGTTACACACATCCATAGGCGTGCGCAGCACATTTCATTAGGGTCTGTACCCAGGGAAATTTATTTTTTATTTTTTTGAAAGGCGAACATTTATTGAATACTTAGTCATAAAAGACAGTATTTTTATTCATCAAACAAACTACAGAAACTAAAACTTAACTAAACTTAATTTTTTTAAATTAGCAACTACACTTTACTTAAAAGAGCATATCATGCAATTAACTTAAAACACAAAGCCACTTTTTTTTTTTTGAGACATTAGGGTGTGCCTGGGAACACCCGGCACACCCCTTGCGCACCTCTATGCACACACCCCACATTCTTTCAGTTAAAGACACAGAACTCACATTGCTAGCGTTTGGTCCTGGTTTAATGATCACACTTGTATCTGGTACTCCAATCTTACTATGAGCTGAACTGGAATTTTCCATTTCCTTTGGGGGGGGAAAATGTAAGTCAATAGTAAAATTAGGACATTGACTAAGAAGCAGTTAAAACTTCGACCTTCCACCTGTGACCCCAGGTATACTTAGAGATATGCAAAAGGTCCAGTCTTTTGGGGGTTTAACTTTGTGCTTAAATTGTCACCATTTCATTTTGGTTTCCTTGCACTTTGGAAATTTGGCTTTGCAATATTTTATAGCTGAGGTTTGTTTCGGTCACCTAGCCAGAAAACTTGCCTTTCATACAAAATGCCATGCTCACTAAACACCCAGCAAAAGCCAAGATGTCTCTGCTCCCCATAGCTGATCCCATGTGTGCTCATCCACACTTTTATATTCTCTGTCACCAGGGTGTTCACCAAGGCTGATGGAATATGGGTAAATTCAACCTTTGTGGATGTTAAAGCTAGACTCGCTCAGACAATGGACCAGTTGGTTACATCATAAATCCCTTGTTTAAAACAGGTTCAGTAAGTCTCTGAAAAAAGGAGCATTGGACCCTTCCTGCTTAAGTCAGAGCATTAGGCTAGACATGCAGGGTGGGGCTTGACAGCCGCAGTCTGGGGAGTTTATGATGATGTTAAATTGAATTTTTCAGGGGCTCATGCTGTGAACACCTGTTCTCTGTGGGTAAATCCCAGCGTGTAACACCCACGTCTCCTGAGTGCTAGCGACGTGACACCCTTATATAAAAAACACAGCTGCACCTGCAAGGCAGTGTTTCAAAAGAGACCCTTAACATGGGACGTTTTGCTGACATTGACCACACGGCCACCACCCTCCCCAGCTCCCAGGCCACGGTTCTCTGTCCCCAACAGGTGCCGGGGGAAGAGGGGTTTAGAGTGGGCTATTTACCTGGCTTCCCTACTCAAACAAACCCCTCCCTGTCCCCAGCGCTCACAGCAAGCCGAGGAAGTGGCATAGTGGAGCAAACAGGTGGCAAGAGGCATGTACAGCCCCATCTTGAGCCCTGTCCCCCACTGTGACCTGCTAGAACTCCGGGGCAGAGGCAGACCTGTGACAATGCCTCAGCATTTAGTACCATTGGCTAGCCTATGGCAGGAGCAGTGGCCGGTGCTGTGCTCCAGGCACGGTTCTGTTTGGCTGCCATGGGCGTGCAACATGTCTCAGGCTTGGGGGGTGCCGCCAGGACTTGCACACTGTCAAAGCAGTCAGAAGAGTCACGTTACCCAGCAAGTGCCCTCAAACATTTTCTTGTCCAGTGGGTCTCCCTGGATCTTCTCATCCAGCAGGACGAGTGAATGGCAGCTCGCCATGGCTCCACACGGCAGCCCCCAAGGCAAGGGACGGCCAGAGGCAAAGCTGTGCACCTCCTGGAAACTGGTGGAAAACAGAGCGTTAGTGTCCCATCTCCTAACGTGCACGGGGACAGATCCTCCACTGGGGTAAGCAGGTTCCTCTCGGCTGGCGTCGGGGGAGCAATGCCCTGTGCACAGGGCCAGCCCGTTCGTATAGATGAACTAGGCGATCGCCTAGAGCACCAAGTTAAATGGGGCGCCAAATGGTGCTGCAATATCAGTGAGGGGTTTGGAGGGGGGGTGCAGATTGCATGGTTCAGTCTAAGGCCGCCCCTGCCGGTACAGCAGCTGAGGGTCTAGGCCCCTCTGTCTGGCATAAGTCTACTCTGCTCGGCGAGCCAAAGGCGTCTCAAACATAATAAGCATGGAGCATTACACGTCGACTTTCTATTGGGTTATGACTGGAAAGACCAGCCCAGAGGGCTGTGGAGCCCTGTTGGACACCACCTGGTTTAATTCCTTAAAAGAGGGATCTTGGCACTTAAGACAAAGAGCAGAGCGATGACACTTCCTGTCGCCCGCCCAGCTCACTGAGGGGAAAAGGGCGCGAGGTTCTCTCTGTCTTACTGGCCACTTTCAAAGAGCTCTCACCTCCCCCGCTTGTCTCGCTCTCGCCTGGCACTGACCCGGCCACGCCGCTGCAAACGTCCCACCAACGGGGCCCCAAGGGAGCCCAAGGGAGCGCTGGTGAAGTGTCTTCGTGACACACTTGCCTTTGCCGTGCCTGATTCTCCGCTGCCTTGCACTGGGAGCTATTCACCCTTGTGCCACAGCTCTGAAAGGCCACTGCTGGTGCACACGGGGAACTCTGGTGTGTTAGCACGGCAGGGCAGAGAGTTATGTCCAAGCTAGTGGCTTGGGCAAGCGAGGACCTGATTCACTAGTCGCTTACACCTGTGTCACTCCACGGAGTTACACTGGGCTAAGTCGGAAGAGACTCAGGCCCTGAGCACTGCAGTGTAATGCCGCAGTCCCTGAATATGCAAAGTCAGCCTGGAGCAGGCATCCTTGCAGGGTGGCACCAGGCGCGCCGCGTAGGGGCATTGCCCCACTCCCTGTGCTCACAGGGGCTGGCCCACAGCTCTGCGCAGCCCCGCTGATGCCTGAGTCAAGGGGAAAGCAGCATTTTGCTAAGGCAGGACCCAGGTTATCTGCCCAGCCGCCCCCATAATGTGCGCCACTGCAACCTGTAGCATAGGATTGTTCAATGCCACTCGAATTTGGCTTGGCTGTCCCTCTGTCACACCACACCTCCCCAGGATCTACATCTTCCAGACACCAAGTCCAGGGGTTCTGTCCCTGGGTCTCCACTGAAAGCTGTCCCTCACCCATCCAACTCTGAATGGTGCTCCCGTTGCACCTTATAGAATTTCTAGTACATACAAGTCAGGTTTTTGGCAGGAAATATTTTTTATTGGACCAGCCTCTGCTGGTGAGACACCCTGGTGGGCAGGGCCTGAAGAGCTCGGTGTAAGCTTAGCAGAACTTAGCTAAGCTAAGAACAGAAGCTGGCCGTTAAGAGATATCACCTGCCCCTTCTTGTCTCTCTAGTAGCCTGGGAGCCACAGGGCTACAACAACGCTGAATACAAAGCTGTTTGTACGTGCAGCTAATTTTGTTTCCTTAGTCACATGAGCAGGCACTGAAACGCCCAACTACCTCACGGGAAATAAACGGGACGTTATTTGGGGCTACTTTCCTTGTCGAGGTTTCGTTGCTCTCGGCAAAACAAAACATTCTGTCTGGTGAGAATTGTACATGCGACCTCTCTTGGCTCAAGCACAGGAGCCGGGTAGGGAACGCATTACTTCCTGGATTCATCCTTTCCAAGAAATCCTTTATTGGGTGGCATGCACTAATGAACCTTCTCGAATGAGCATCTGAGAGCAGTTGTCTCTGTCCCGAGGGGCTTGGGAATGTCGTTTTTCCCTCTCACCAGGAGTTCACTCCATCACTCACCATGGTACGACTCTCTCATCTCTGTTGAAGTACCTGTTACCTTGGCAACCACTGCTAACATCTGGGATGTTGATACCATGCACGTGCTGGCCCCCTGAGCTAAATGGAATATAGACAGTGCATGGCCACCCAGGCCTGACAATAGTGGAGGGGAGGGTGTAGTGAGGGCAGCCGGCTTCAGCAGTGTTACTGAGCATGCTCAGTCTGTGGGCACATGCACAATACAAGCCAAGCAGCCAATCAGGGAAGGGGGAGGGGAAGGTCACCATGCCGGCCTGCCCCATTATCCCCCCTTGGAATGAACAATAAACAGCTGCTGGTTTTGCTACAATCAACAAGCTGTGCAATTACGCACCACTGGTCACCTTGGGCTGGCCAAGGATTTTGGAATAGGATTGCAATGCAACTTGCTGCACAGGGCCAGCATCTGAACGGTGAAGTCTGCCGAGTCCGGCAGCAGTGGCCCAGGTAGCGGCTGCATTTATTTGTAAAGCACTTGGGGGACACACAGTTGTCTAGACAAGACAGAATAACAAGGGATGTGAAAGAAGCAAAACAATTTGCTGTCAGGCCGGTGAATGAGCTGTGAAGAGAGCCCCGCTCCTCCACGTCCCGCGCCAGTGTCCTAGCCACTAGCCCACACTGCCCCTCTCTTCACTACAGCTGTGCGTTTGAGGCAGCTCCCTGCTGCGTAAGGTTCCCGTGGACTCTGTTTAGACAATGTATCTGAGATCTGCCCGTCACTAAACACAACCCCAAAATACAAACCCCACTCGCGGACAGAGACCCTTACCTGCGTGCTTGCGAAGGGATCAGCCCCCAGAGGTCCAGCCCATCTTCTGTCAGGGTGCCCGTCTAGGTTCAAACAAACATCTGATTATTTTAGTAGCGGGTCAAGCCCTGGTTCTCCAAGGCGGGTGTAAGTCTCACTGCACCCGCGTCTGCCCCCTTGTGGGCCAAATTCCCAGCTTGCCTCCGGTGGCCACTTACACCCTGCACAGTGCGGTTCTGTAAACCTGGCCCATTGTTTCCAGGCGCATTCCAGTGCCTGGAGGTAAATTATCCACCCCGTGTTCAAATACACCAGAGTAGTGTGAAACCACAGAAAGAGCCAGAGGTGAGTCTGGAGGCGGGGAAAGTGTAACCGAGTCAGCGCTCCAGGGGGACAGAGAGAGGGGGGACAGACTGTGGTCTGGTCCCAGTCTGGAGGCAGTGCTCCGGAGGGGACGGGGGACCGTGGTCTGGTCCCGGTCTGGAGGCAGTGCTCCGGGGGGAACGGGGGACCGTGGTCTGGTCCCAGTCTGGAGGCAGTGCTCCGGAGGGGACGGGGGACCGTGGACTGGTCCCGGTCTGGAGGCAGTGCTCCGGGGGGGGCGGGGGACCGGGGGCTGG